TCACTCTATTCTGGCCCTGTGACTGATATTACAAGTCTAAAAGCTTAGATTATCTAGTGCATCCATATAAAGGACGTAGAAGGAAAGAAAGTAACAAAGATAAAAGAGAGTGTACATAAGCACGATTAGTAAAAAGTTAAAAAAGTTGAAGGTAGGGTATGTGAAAAGGGAGAACATGTTTCCCAGTTTCCGGCTCTCCATCTCAATTTTGAACAGCCACTGAGTCAGTTTCATGGTCTGTATGTTCAACAGAGACTTGTTCTGTGAACTGAATTTAGCAGGAGTGTTTTCAGGGATCTACCTTTCATCTATAAATAATAGCAGTTCTATTCCTGATTGTCCTATTTTTCCTTATGTTGGCCTAGTGAAACCTTGTGATCAGTTAAAGTATGGTTCTTTTTGTTTGTAAGTTGTGTAGCATCAGTATCAGCTTTTGAACATTGTGTAGCATCAATAACAGCTTTTGAACACACTTTCATCCTTCTCCTTCATCTCCTTCCATCACTGACCTTTATCCCCAAAGAACTGTGCACGTCACATTCTGCAGTCTCTTTTTCTGAGACCAATTGAGAACAGTTGTAGGATGGTGTGTTGATGGAATCTTTTGTATGCTTCATTTCAAGATATTGACATCCTCTTTGTTTTAACGGAGCCAGTGAGAAACAGCAGGAGGAGACTAGCAGAGGGAGCTGTTCTGACTATTGATTTTTTTGTGCCTTTCAGTGGTTCATTAATTTCTCTAACAATTGCTTCTTAGGTAGCTGGCTGGGTGTGACCATCACTAGCCAGCAGAATAACGGCTGGCCTGACTGGGGGGGGGCGAAGCCATAGCTGATAATCTCAACTTTGCCCTCTGAATTCTTCTATCTATGAGTTACTCATTTGGTATGGAGGCAATATTGAGCTCCCTGCAAATAGTGAAATACCTTCATTTTTAATATGACATTCTTATTCTTCCACAGTATGTGTAGATAGCCAGAAGAGTACAAACCAGCTGTTTCACGAGACACAAGAGGAGTTAGACAAAGAGGTCATTGCAATAATTTTAGCCCTGTGCATAATTGTTCATATGGAAACAGTATGTTTCACTAGTATTGACTGGTATTGCTACTATATCCCTACCAGCTGTGTTAGAACTCAAAACTGTCTAGTACTGTATGCCTTGACTGTTAGAAAGCACCAGGCTGGAGTGAGGCTCATAACTAATTTCAAAACCTCTATGGATGTCCCATTTTACTGTGAGTTAGAAAAGTGCATGTTGGAAGGCAATGGGCAAATCACTGCTGTGTAGAAGTTGAGTAAGGCAGTACTGAAAGTAGAACAGTAATTGTAAAGCTATTTCTGGTGCTGTTTTTCTTGCTTATGAGTCCCTCATGTCCCTATAATTTCTGAGAAATATAGCTGTGATAATAAATTTGTGAGAAAAAGTCGTTGATTTTATTCCAGAAGTAGTTACATGATAAAAAAATCTGCATGTAATTATTCTGTGTAGGGTGTGGGTTTTTTTGTTCACAGTAGAACTTCTAGGACACCATATAATTTTCCAGACGGCTATTTTAGGGATATTTAGAGCCATTGAATAAATTGGAAGACTGTAGTTCACAGGGGGAAAAATGACTTGTGCACTGTCCGTAACCGATATTTCTTTTATGTTATCTTTTATATCAAACAATGCCTGTAGTCTGTTTTACTCTAACAGGATACTGTTAAGGGGTGATAATATGCAATCATTGATTCTAATGTCAATCTTAGAGAGAAAAATATTTTCTTTAAATGTAGACAAATGTTATTTGCACATTCGCCTGACTGCCATCTAAGTTAGTCTGTCATGCCTGGTCTGACTTAATTTGTTCTGACTGCTAAAGGTTTTCAAAGCAGGAAAATCCAGGTGTTATGAAGAAACCCTTGAAATTCACTTTATTGATAAAGAATATCTTTTTTTTATGGATAAATGAAAGAAACCCTCTCAATGGCTGAAGCTTGTTAATAATTTCTTGTCTTACCCTATTTTTTATCGTAGCTGGTCAGCTTTTACAAGATTTATTTTAAGTTAGTTTATTATCTCTGCTTTAAAAAAAAAAAAAGTGATTTGCCCCTATTTCAGCCTGAGAGAAGTTTGACTAGATGCCATCAAGTTGTCCTTACTTTTGCTTTGCATTCTGTCTCTTCCCAAGTATGCAAATCAGAGTTTGGTAGAGCGCTATGGGCTTGTTGATAGCGTGTAGTCATTCCTCAAATAGCCTAAGTCTGTGCAGTCCCAAATAGCTTCGTGTAAGATGTTTCCCATCCGGTAGAGTTAATTGCCAAAGTGTAATTTTTCAGCATCTGGTGTGGGCTATTTTGCTTGCCTGCGTGGAACAGATTTAACCACTGAGTAGTTTTCTCCAGCTGGTGGCAGAAATAATGAAATACTTATAATCAGTAGGTCTCTAATAGGTTGAGGCTCCCTCTGAGGAGGGCATTGCTAAGTTTTTCACAGCTAGAAACCGCTCTCTGTGCATCATTTCAAAGCTCAGAGAGGTGTGAGGCCTGAGGGAGGCAGGGACTGAGAGGAGAAAGTTCTTCCTAAAGATATTTCAGCTTCAGCTTTTTAGTGTTAAGGTCTTCTGGATATGGGGTTGTTGTACAAGTGGTTGCATTCATATGTAACTTTTCGCTGTAGAAGTAAGAAGTAAAAAGTAAATGCCAGCCCTTGTTGAAACAAGTTGAATTTATTTTCTGAAACTCAGTAAATCAGGAAAAAGAAAAAGAAAAGCACAAATAAACTTTACAGCTTCAGCTTTTTCCTTTAATGTTTCCATTTTGTATTAAAAAAACAATCTAGATTTTACAATATTGAAGATAATAGCAGATATTGTTCTTTTGCTTTTCTGTGCTGTAAAACATTGACATCTGTCATAGGAATGTCATAAGGGTTCCTATGTTGTGTGCAATGGGCACCTTCACCCATGGCAGACTCATTTAGATACATATTGCTTGGATTCAAGAAGAGGCTGTTTTACTTTAAGCAGAAGACGTTTGTGGTGCATATTGGGCAAATCTGATTCCATATAATGCATAAACATGCTACCTGTGAGTGATACCTTCTTATCACGATGCATAGAAGTGCTCAATCACTGAAGTTTTTATTCAGTCCTCCACCAGGACTCCATCTGTAACAATTTTGCATTATATTTTATTTTGTCAACATTGTCTTCTGATATAAAGAAATGTTAATGTACTTCAAAAATCTGGAGATACCATTTTAATGGTTACTTATTAATCAGAACAAAAACAGGTAATGACACTAGATTGTTTAGTTTTGTTTTGTTTTAAGGGAGAACATATTTATCCACAACAGCTTCTTGCAGGGAGGCATCGTAATAAATACTACATCAATACAAAGAGTGCCATGCATCATTTTCTGGTCAATCTGTGTGGTAGGGTCGTTGTTATAGTGACAGTGAAATACAGATCAGTCTCTTTTTTTTTCCTTTTTTTTTTTGTTAAGGTTACATCAAAGCTGTTTGCAGTCTATTCTTCTCTGAATTGCACATGAATGCCTGTAGCATTTCTCCTGAAGCATTAAAATCACACATGTTCAGTATGGGTTTTTTTAACCTGAAATGGAACTGTTCCAATTTATGTTTGTATTCACCACCACCCCACTCAGCAAGCAAATCTTGCTCTTAAGGTTGGCTTATCAGCAGCTACGTGTCTGTGGCTGCTGTCTCCAGTGCATGTAGTACAGCCTGTTCACTGATTTCAGAGAAGTCTTTCACCTGACCTACTTCTCTGTTCAGGTGCTAACTGTATGTGTTCAGAATACTGTTCTGTCTTTGCAGCATGCTGTATTGAATCGAAGTAGTGAGAAACTGCCCTAATAACTTACATTATTGACCCACAACAGACAAATGACATTGACTCTAGCATTTTTTTTACCCTTCTCTTCTTTTTCCTTCTTTTCTTTGCCTTTTTTTGGTCAAGAGACCAAAGCTATTTGATGTATTATTTGGCACCACCTTTGATACAAATACAGTTTTAACCAAGGAGAGAAATAGAGGTTTTCTCTAAACATGCCTGCCATTGTCTAAAAAAAGATTATACTTCTAACCTGACTTTGGTAATGGCCCATGTTTTGTGCCTGCTATATGGTAAATTTAGCAAAAGCCACCTGGTTGGGCAACACTAGAGGGAAAAATAACTGGATAGAGCATGGGACTCTTAATCCCAGGGTCTTGGGTTTAAGGCCCACGTTGGAGTAAGCTGTACTGTTTATCATCTTACTCTGCTGTGCCTGGGAACATTTTTATAGTAGCAGTGGTGACACACCTGGGCTGACAGATGGCCAGAGCATCGCTGCTGTTTCTGTACTGCTGTACTGGACAGACTGGAACTCCAATGTGAACTCAAGTTGAAGGGACTGTGACCTGTGGATGAGTCCCTGCAGGGGCAGGACACCCTGAAGTGTCTGTGGCTGTGGATAAGCCCATGCCAGAGCAGGTACCTCTTGAAGCGTCTGTTGCCGTGGTTATGTCTGTGCCACAGCAGGTGTACCTGTAAAGGGATTATGGCCTAAGAATAAATCCACACTGTAGAAAGTACACCTCGAAGCATCTATGGCTGTGGATAAGTCCATGCTGCATCAGTGTCTGTGCATGAGGTCATGCTGGAGCACCTCAAAGTGTGTGGCTGTGGATAAGCCTACGACAGAGCAGGTACACCCCTGGAGGGACTGCAGCCATGGATAAAGCCATACTGGAGCAAGTTTACTTCTCAAGGGACTGTGGCTGTGGGTAAGACCACACTGGAGCAGATACACTCCTAAGGGACTGTAGTCTGTGGATAAGTCCAAGCTGGAGCAGGGGCAAGGGGAGGAGTTCATTGCACTGTTAAACTTTATGGTCTGGTCCAAAGGGACCAGCGGTGGAGATCATGATGGAAATAACCTTTAAATTGTTGCAACCTGGGATTTGAGTTGCATGTTATGGGAATTACTATGGCAGCAACCACCAGAACCGATGGAGGAAAGCCTTACAAGAGACAGTGCAAGTGCAGCAGGGACCCGACCTGAGCTGGCTTTGGTGCCCAGTAACTCCACACAACACACCACCTCTCCTGTCCTGAGTGACCACGGTAACAGATGGCGCCCAAAGTCATGGAATAACTGAACTCAGCGGACATTTTGTGGACATTGTAAAGACGTTTTACAGGGTGGTCCATAGCACCTCAAAGTGTGTGGCTGTGGATAAGCCTACGACAGAGCAGGTACACCCCTGGAGGGACTGCAGCCATGGATAAAGCCATACTGGAGCAAGTTTACTTCTCAAGGGACTGTGGCTGTGGGTAAGACCACACTGGAGCAGATACACTCCTAAGGGACTGTAGTCTGTGGATAAGTCCAAGCTGGAGCAGGGGCAAGGGGAGGAGTTCATTGCACTGTTAAACTTTATGGTCTGGTCCAAAGGGACCAGCGGTGGAGATCATGATGGAAATAACCTTTAAATTGTTGCAACCTGGGATTTGAGTTGCATGTTATGGGAATTACTATGGCAGCAACCACCAGAACCGATGGAGGAAAGCCTTACAAGAGACAGTGCAAGTGCAGCAGGGACCCGACCTGAGCTGGCTTTGGTGCCCAGTAACTCCACACAACACACCACCTCTCCTGTCCTGAGTGACCACGGTAACAGATGGCGCCCAAAGTCATGGAATAACTGAACTCAGCGGACATTTTGTGGACATTGTAAAGACGTTTTACAGGGTGGTCCATAGACTTAAGGGAATGATATTTGTGTATTGTATCAAAGGACGGGAAGGGGCAGAGGTGGTTAATGAGGATATAGTGGATAGTGTGAGACCTGAGCATAATGTAAATGTTATGGAATAAGGGATGGAAAACATGCTGGTTTTGGCTGGGATAGAGTTAATTTTCTTCACAGTAGCTAGTATGGAGCTATGTTCTGGATTTGTGCTAAAAACAGGATTGTTAACAGAGGGATGTTTATGTTATTGCTGGGCAGTGCTTACACAGAGTCAAGGCCTTTTCTGCTTCTCACACTACCCCATCAGTGAGGAAGCTGGGGTGCACAAGATGTTGGGAGGGGACACAGCTGACACCAGCTGACCAAGGCAATATTTCCTACCGTATAATGTCATACTCAGCATATAAAGCTGGGGGAAGAAGAAGGAAGGGGGGAATGCTTAAAGTGATGACATTTGTCTTCCCAAGTAACCGTTATGTGTGATGGAGCCCAGCTTTCCTGGAAATGGCTGAACACCTGCCTGCCCATGGGAAGTAGTGAATGAATTCCTTTGCTTTGCTTGTGTATGCAGCTTTTGCTTTACCTATTAAACTGTCTTTGTCTCAACCCATGAGTTTTCCCGCTTCTACCCTTCTGATTCCCTGCCTCATCCCACCAGGGGAGAGTGACAGAGCAGCTATGTGTCGCTTAGTTGCTGGCTGGGATTAAACCACAACAATTTCTTCTCAAATTAGGACGATATTTGATTTATTTTTCATGAGATGCCTTCTTTAGTGTAGAGTTACTTAGGGATTTCCACTGTATATGTGTCTGCTTTGTTTTCCAGGAAGCCATTGTATGGATTGTTTCAATATAATTCCAGTATGATTGGACTAGAATCATTAGCTGATCCCTCCGATACCTGGGAAATTATAGAGACTATCGGGAAAGGCACTTATGGTAAAGTCTATAAGGTTGCCAATAAGAAAGATGGGAGTCTGGCAGCAGTAAAGATTCTGGATCCTATCAGTGTAAGTAAAATAATATATAAACTGTAACTTCACTGTTAATTTAAAAGAATTCTCAGACGTGAAATGTATATCAAATGTGTAGGAGACTGAAAGCATCCTGAAAGAAACAATTTTGCAGAATGCATTGACAGAAGAAGTTTGGTACCAGCACCTGAAAGCTGCAACTTACAATTTTATGATTTTGTATGTTATTTTAAGACAGCATTTGCCTAGTTTCTTTTTTAGGTCTATGTGGTTCTTCTGGTATCAATTTAGATATCTGTGCTTGGAGCATGCAAATGATAAGAAAGCATGGAGGCATTCCTCTTAGAGGCCTGCTGTAGCAGGGAAAATACAAGATGCTATTAATGTTCTTATTTTATTCTGTGTGCTACCTAAAATAATTACTTTTCCCATCACAGTGGTACTGTGAACTTTAGGATATTTTATAGTTATCTTTTATAAGTGGATAATACTGCGAGGCAATAGATAAGATAAAAACAGAGGAAGAGCACAGCCCAAATTCTCAGAGGTAGTTCTGGGCCAGCTCCAGTTTTAGTGGATATTAAATCCCGAGCTCCCCTTGAGAACCAGGGCTCTAGTTTTCAATGGAACATTTAATTGGCAGCTGTTCAGGTTGGATCAAGCTGGAGTTTGATCATGAGAGTTGGGGTAAAAAGTTACATTTCCGTCATCTACCACTACTGAAATTCATTTTGGTTTTCTCTTGTATAAATCTGAAGAAGGTAATAAATAAGATTAAATCCTTTTTAGCAAAATGCAAAAGGTGGAAAATACTTGTAAGAGCTTAAATTTTCTAATAGTCACAGTCTGTGCAGAAACAAGGAAAGATTCAGTGCTGAAGTAGTGTCGTCAGTTGTGGCCTGTGTGCTGATATTACACAGTATTTTGTTACAGAATTCTTTCATTAACAAATATTTATTAACATTTGCTATTTCATGGGTTTTGTTTTGTCTCTTTTTAATTGTTTCAGGTGTATGTCTTTTCCTTATAAGGATGTCTGTTTTTACTGATGTCCCCTTTGAGGTTTTGTGAAATTGCTCTGTTTGGTCCTATCTGATGACCATAGAAAAAAGAATGAATCAAAGACTCATGTATTTACATTTAGCTTAGACAATAAAAAATGTGAGTGTTTAAAAACAGGTTAGAAAATAATACTTGTGTAAATTTCTTATTTAGACAATTGAGCCAAATTAAGTATAATTTTTACTTTTCTGTTTTAAGTATATTACACACTGAAACAATCCTTGAAGAACAACTGCTTGCTTTACACAGACTTCATGTATTTGTATGTAAAAAAAGCAAAAGTGGCATGATTTGGTGTGGATTAAATTTACGGTATCATGTGAGTACTTTCAGCTGCATTAAAGTAAAACCATTTAAAAGTACAAACTAATTAAAAAAGTTTGGTTTTTTTTTTTTTATCCATGAGAGTTTGTTCTTGCTTTGCATGGATTTACTGTGTTTATATGTTCTGTGTGTTTGTCTTTTTTATTTAGGATGTAGATGAAGAAATTGAAGCAGAATATAATATTTTGCAGTTTCTTCCCAATCATCCTAATGTTGTTAGGTTTTATGGAATGTTTTACAAAGCAGATCAATATGTGGGAGGACAGCTCTGGCTAGTACTTGAGGTAAAAAACGTTTTGATAACATTACATCTTAGCTAGCATGGTTGTTGGATTTCTGGTTTTTATTGCTAGAAAAGTCACAGGCTTTCATGATTCTCTGATTGGGGCCATTAATCAACAGACTGGTGACAGATGATGTGTGGTAGTCTACTGTGGAAAATCGCATCCAAACCAAGCAAATCCTTTTGATAAGAGTGCTTTGCCTAAAAACAGCTTGATTTTTTTTCGTGTTGGAAAGAACATTAGGTAAGACATTTCTCTAAACTTTTGGACAACTCAAGCACTTGAGGGGAATGCAAAAGATTACGAAGTAGTAACATGGAGAGCAGTTAACACACATGCTGCCTATTGCAAAAGTGAACAGAGAAAATGTAATGGGAAAGTCTGTTTTATGGTAATTTAAAAATAGAGGCTTGTTGTTTTTGAAAACCTAGCAACAGAAATGCTGTCTATTAACTCTTCTTGTTCAGTGGCAATCAGTATTCTTGCACTGAAAAATGTATTTTGGTGGTTTCGTTGCCAGTTGACTGCTAAAGATTGTTGCAAGATGAGGATTTCTTCAATGTTTCCTAGGCTTAATCGATACAGAGCTTTGCACAGACTGATCAGCAGTAACAGACCATTCAAACGTTTCTCTGTTATAACTAGACCAGTAAAAGTTCACTTCTTAATGCTGATCACTTTAGAAATTCTACTGCCCGTCCTTGAATGGTGACTGGAATCAGAATAGGGAATCTTTCTTTTCACTTTAAGTTGTGGAATCCCAACAATGTATCTAACTTCTGTGTACTGCAGAATTATGCAGCTTGAATGAAAACTTTTGGACATGTTTTGTCGTAAATTTCAGTAACTATTAAAAAAGGAGCTTTTGTATTCTTTGGTTTGGTGTTGGTTTTTTACTGTCTGCCTGCTGGCTTTGTGTTGAGTTTGGGCTTGGCTTCCCATTTGTTTTCTTTTTTAATGGAAGTGTAGCATTCAACAGAAGCATCACACGTGGTGTTCTGTAGAACAAAATTTGGTTAAGCAAAATCGTGACATATTCTATGTAACAAAATTGAAGGTAGAATTTGAGAGTTAGGTGTTTGTACGGACCGTATCAATTAAGTATGTTAATTTCAGGTGGTTTTTTGCAGTGTGTTATCCAAAGTTTTAAAGAAATTTGACATTTAAAAAATTGTGTTTTCCTTATATGGATAAACTTACCAGATAAGGCAAACTATTTCTTGCCTTGGAATTTACATGCAAATTTATGTATGCATAGCACTTACTTTTTATATTATAAATTAATGACACTTTTTCAGTAAAAGGGAATGTATGAAGTACTCAGCCTTTGATCCCTGAGTCTTTGATGAAGTATATTCATTGGGTGTGTGACTTCCAAAATTTGTAGTAAAAAGGTGTAACTTTTTTTTTTCCTTCGGGCACAATTTTGACATGTTTGCTCACTATGAGCAGCACCTTACTTCGATAAATGCCTAGGATGAGGAAGGGTAGCAAAAATGGACCCTTAAATATTTTTATGATTATGCAATTTACTATATAGGGAATTTTAGAGAGAAGCATTTTGTGTTCCTTGGGTAGGTGTGGCACAGACAACTGTAAAGCAAGTTTCCCTACTTTTCCATCTAAATATCCATCAGTCCACTTTTTAAAGTATTACAATTAGGGACAAAGTGGTAATGAAGTTTACAAGTTCATTTTGTCCCAGATCTTTGCTGACTGTCAAGAACAGTATCACTGACAGCTGCAGTAGTGTTTGTAGGATGTATTTATTTTCAGAGTCAGTCATTCGTTTAACATATGCTGCCAAACAACTGTCAGTCTGTATCATTTTTCAGTCACAGCCGGCTTGGGTTTTTTTTGAAGTGAGGGCATACTTTTCTGTATTTCATTTGCAGGCTAGAGATAAGTTTAGTATAGCGTGTCTCAGTAGAACATTTAGTGCAATGAAAGCAATAAAAATATTTGACTTAGTGGCTTCTCGGCAAATGCTTAAGCAAGGAAAGAAAATGGCACACTTTCTCTCATGAGATCATGAAATTCTCCTGTAAATACATTCGATGATTGATATTGAGCTGAATGCTTCCACCCAGTTGACTTTAAAAAAGTAAAATTCCCTACTGATGAATTCAAAAGTAAAGCCAAATCCTGCAGAACTCATGAATGTTTTCATTGATGAAATTTTGCTTCAGGAACTTATTTACATAAAGGTTGTCTAGTTTATCATGTGATCTGGTCCTTTCCATGAACTAAAACTTATAGTCTAGTGAAATTTTTTGATGCAAGGGGAAGTTCGTAATAAATGAAGGAAAATATCAACATATCACAGAAATTAGTGATTAAACTGATACATAATTGGTAAAAGTTATTTGAGAGATGCAAAACTTGAGAGTTAGTAGAAATTCTGGTTTTATACCATTCTCTTGATTTGTGCTGTAGTATTTTAAACTTAATACTGATAACATAAAATGAACTTGGTTGAAATACATGTGATTTCTGTATGGCAGAAACATTGGTAAGGGTGCGAGCTACAAAAACAGGTCTAGAGGAGAAAATTCAATGAAAGAAAGGCAGTCAATTCTCTCATCATTTTTGTTTTGTCAAACAATTGTGAATGTTAAAATAAGAAAAGGACAGAGAAAGAGGAGAAAGGAAAGAGGGGAATAGCTGCTTAGAAGGGCATGGACAATAAACTAACAGTGTGGGTGAAAACATATTTACAAAGATTCTAATTTTACTTTTCTCCTCTTCTTTTGATGTATTGCAGCCCATTAATGGGAAATGCTGGCAAGAAGCTGCTTTTCTGGATCAGAATGTTTTATCTCAGTTGTTGGCAGCACATGCCATCAAATATGAGTGTAGAGATATAGTTTCTATCTACTCTATATTGCCTGCCAGCAGGAGCATTGATGGAGTGAAAGTTTAAAATGACTGTAATTTGTTGCCTCCCAGTTATCAAGAGCATCAATCTTTTCTGTCTGGCCTTTTCTTTGCACAAAAGTAGTTTTTCAAAAAGACAACGTGCATATTATTGTGAAAATACTCAAATAATGTAAATCAGACTTATAAGTCCTCTTTTAACAACAAAATACAGTCCTGTTCATAATATTGTGATTTTTAGTTACACTTTATAAAATACACTTTATAATCTCCGGTTTTCACATCCCTTCCCCTACCCAGACTGCTGTGATTTATGCTTAACGTTGCTAATAAAATATGTTCTAAGATGGAGTGACAACATAAATAATTGCAAGGTAAAAATCTAGTTGTTCCCAGACTTGTGTTGTAGTGCAGTTTTGCATGGCAGGTGTTTACAGCCTAAACAAGTATACTGAGTAACTGTGGACTTGTTTTCTTTTTTCCCCCCTCACAACTCCCTCCTTCACAGCTGTGCAATGGAGGTTCTGTCACAGAGCTTGTCAAAGGCCTGCTGAAGTGTGGCCAACGGTTGGATGAAGCTATAATCTCATACATCTTATATGGTGCTCTCTTGGTAAGGATGTTCATTGGGGTTGTAATGACAGCAGAGGGTGCAATTTACTCATCTCATACATATATTTTCCATTTATAAAACATGGTAATGTTGACAATATTATGCGGGCTATTATAGCAGCAGGGGTTGTATCAAGCATGTAGTAGGGTGGACAGATGTTTCTATAGAGTATGTGCAGATTGTCTTCATTACATTCCTTAATAGTAGGGTAATTGTTTTTAAATAAGGGAATAAACTTATTTTTGTTACTGCTGGTATATAGGGCCTTCAACATTTACACAATAACCGGATCATTCATCGTGATGTGAAAGGGAACAACATTCTCCTGACAACAGAAGGTGGAGTCAAGCTCGTTGACTTTGGTAATGACCACTTCCCATTTTTTTTCCTGATACATGCAGTTTAGCCAAAGGCATCTGTTTACTTTCTCCAGGGAAGGCAGAATGCAGTAGTGAGAGACTTTTTCAGAAGGATACTCAGAATTATTTTAAGAAGGAAAAATGGAGAAGGAACCTAATATAGCAAGAATAAAAATTCTAACCAAAAGTCAGCAAAAGACTTTTAAATTAAAAGCTTAAACATAACAATTTAATAATTAAAAATAGATCTGAAGGTACCATTTTATTTAGAAAGCTCTTTTGCATTTCACAAGGAATGTCAATTTCAGGGCAGTTGTCCTCCTAATTTAAATTTAGATACTCTGTCGTTTGCATATGAAAAGGAAGCATTCTTCTCTCTGAAATGGCTTTTGCTAGCCTTAAGCTTATTTTTTCCCTCTGAGCAGAAGGTAAAATGTTCCCTTGGGTCTAAAACCCAACATCCATTTAATTTGTGATTATTGCTGTTAGATTTGAGCGTTGCCAATTTGGAAACATAAGAAACGGGGGGGGGCGGGGGAGGGAGAGACAGATAGGTAGATAGAGAGACTTGGCAATAGAATTTAACTTCAGCATTTTTTTTCGCTTTAAATGTGCACTTAGAAAAATCAGGAAATGCTGTAGTCCCTCAGATATGTATGCAATGAAATGGACAATTTTATTAAAGATGTAAGAAACAAATTATTAGTAATATGATTTATTAATGAAACAATATAATTTATAAGGTAATTGTCATTGAGAATAGTATTGTGTGAATAATAGATGTTTGCTTAGCAGTGTATGGAGGTAAAGACAAACGTTCACAAAATGAGAGTAGTGTGAAATGGTGTGCCAAAAAATCCTGCAAATAGTAATATTTTTTTTAATATTAAATTTATGCAGTGGTAAGAAAATTTAATACTGATGTTGCCATGGTATTATAACTTTAACATAAAAATCTATTGAAGATGCTGAAGTAAGTTGTGAAACAGGAGACTCTTTAGTATCTTCTACAGACAGAAATTCATTATGTTGAATGGTAAAGGCAACAATTAAAATAGTGCTGGGAGAAACATATGGCCTGAAGAAAAACTTGGAGTGAGTCCCTGACCTAGTACAAGCAAGGAAGATCCTTTCTCATTTGGGGAAATTTGTTTGTAACTACTCTGTTCTGGGAAAAGTTAACTTTTCTCCCTAAAGCACAATGTTTTTATCAGACCTATCAAAGGCCTTAGCTGCAGCAGCTCACCTTGTAGCTCTGACTTCCAAAGGCAGATCAATGTGCTGCAACTCCAACTGCAAGAAACTGAGAATACCAGCCTTTCTGGTGTCCCATGTGTGTCTCTGATTCCACATTTAGGGTTTAGGGTTTTTTCCTACTTTTTAAGTTAAAACAATAACACTAGAAAATTACAACAAATATGAGTACCTCAGAAAAAGGTATGAGTTAAATCTTGAGTGTTTCCTAACACTTAGGAAACATCAAGAAATGTCCACATATCTGTGTGCTGCCTGACTGAAGAAGCATCAGGCACCAAGCTTTCATTAAGTTGCTATTTTTTCCCTCTAGCCCACTGCCGTGGGCACAGAAGGGACTCTGGGAACGAATTAGGACTGAGTTGCAGGTGATATTTGTAGTTTGTAGAACCGTTTGTCTCATTTGTTGCAGAAAGTGGAAGACACACAGTGAAAAATGGGCCGAGTTCAAGAAGAGAAGGGACTCAGTTCAGACAGTTGAATGGCATCAAATTGGAGACTATTCTTCTGCTGGTGTTTCTCTGTGATGTTGGCAGGTCACTTGCGTCAAACTTTCTATAAGTGGCCACTCTTCCTCATTTTCCCAATAGCCACTTTAAAACGTCTTGTCCTCCTTTGCAGAAGAGCTAAGTGTTCTTGAACTGCAGCTGAGATGTGTTACAACACTACTGGAGGCACGTGGAATGCCTGAAAACTGAAAGATCTCAGATTAAGTACCCAAAACCAGTAGATGCTTTGGATATTTTTAGGTTAATCCCTGGAACTAATAATCCTCTCCCATTTTGCAGGAATGTTAAGGAGATTTATTTTTTGATGAGGAGGGAAGGAAACATGTCAAAAGGAAAAGAAAATAATTATTTTAAATTTAGTATAGGATTGGATATACTAAATAAGTAACTAGAACTCAAATAAATGTGGATAAAAAAAATATTAAATGGCTACCTATTCAGTGAATGCTATCCATTCTATCCACAGAACGAGACAGAATCTGGAAGGGGAAAAAAAGTTACTTCATATTCAAGGCTGGACATATGGATATTAGGTCGCAGAGAGGATTACACAGATATCTTTAATTGAGGCTTTTTTTTTTTCCTTTATTGCATAACTTTACAACTTGCCTTTTCAATGTAACGCACATTTCTTCCCTCAGCTGCTCTTGACAGTGTGATATATTTGAATAAATGTTGGTCACAGTGTAAGTTGACCGAAAATGTCTCCAATTTATTCATTTATGCTCATGCTCACTCAACTCTCTCCCACTGTCTCTGTCTCTCAGCCCTTTGGTATTCTGCACTGTTTTGCAGTGTCCATAGATAGCAGTAGATAGCAGCTACAAATTAAGCTAACTGAAGAGAGATGAAGAGTTAAATGCACAGACGTTTGCTGTAGGTCCTACCTATTACCTATTTCACAGCTATACTCAGGAAATCACAGAAGGCTTGCAGTCACACTGAGAAATAAATACAGAATCGAATCTTGGAGCCAGCAATTGAATTATTTAGCTTACAAATTATGAGTCCAAATTTCTTATATATTGGCATCAGACAATGTGTATTATATGTGTTTCCACCCTTTTTTGTTTCTGGGTCATGCCATAGGACTGGACCACTGTGATTTTTGTTTGGTTTAAGCTGTGTTAAGGTGAAATATTTTTTAAGTCAATATTGGTTTTGTGTCAGCTTATTGGAATGCTCCTGAACGCTACAGTTCAATTTTATGTTGACCAGAGCACAGAAGATTTGCTGTGAAAGTTCATTCTGATTTGTTTACGTAGTTGGATTTCACTCTAGTTCTTCCTTCTTTTCAGCTGTGCTTCTGTAGTGCAGCCCCAGTCAGCAAAGCACTGAAGCACAGGCTTTGTTTTAAGCATGTGCTGAACTCCCTGGGTACAAGCTGCCCTGTGAGCTTGAGCTTCCGTGCTTTTCTCAGTA